ATCAGTCGATCTTCAAACGCTTCGGAAGCACAACTCTTGTTGCCCGGTGACCACAAATTATGCTAAGCTGTCTAGAATAAGATACAGTACCACGTGAGGCGGGCGGTGTCTGTTTACTGTCATTTTACTGTTTTTGCATGGCCGATATCTGATCGCGCTGTCCAAAATATCAACTACTTTCGCACGAAGCGTTCTTGCTACTCTCACCGCTGCGACTACAGCTGGTCAGCTCCTACTGGTACAGCTGCAGCCAGTGCCCCTCCTTCAGGTACTGTTGCGCTAACGACTTCACGATAGATTTCTGGACCCGGTATGGGCTTCGTACAGACCCACGCGGTTGCAGTACGCATCCAGCCAACGTAGTAGCACGAGTTGTAAATCCACACGTTTGTTCCATAAGTACGAAGCAGCTCCTAATAGTCGTCGCAGCGGTGCCAGACTAGGGGCTGAAAGATCGGTGAGCAAGAGTGTGTTATACGCCAAACCCAAGCAAAAGCGAGGTGTGCATGGCCCGGGGCCGGGGCGGCTGCGCAGCACCTCGAACGCTCTTCGGGCTAGAGTGACGAACGTGTGATCAGGGCCCTCTTCAGGCGGGTAGACGGTAGCCTTCACAAGGCAGCGAGGGGTGGTGAAAAAGCTGACGGCTTTCTCTGGCTAGCGGATTGCCTGCTGGCGTTTCAGATCGACAAGATCAGCCGATCATGTGCCATTTACGTACGGACAGGCCAGGTATAAACGAAGAACCACTAAGTGAAAGCCACCCCTAAAATCATTTCTAGCATAGACACTCGGGGTCTTGACCACAGCCGTCACAGTGACCCTGGCCAGACTATACTGCGAAGCAGTTAACATGTTTATGAAGAAAGTACGAACAGGTTGACTTATCACGAATATGTGTGCAGCTCACATAACATAAGAATACTGTGCACGAATGCATGTTTGAAGAGAAAAGGCATGTGCATGTTCAGGCGCAAAGCTTGCACACAAGCACGGTCAACTACCTGCAAGCATGCGTATCTACACACCAGTGACAATCCTGCGACCTACTTGCACAGGCAAACAAACACATATATGCAGCTATAGTCATACAGTCGCACAATGCCATAAGAAGCCACAAGTAGTACGAGTAGGATCGTTATTGCGGGAGGGGGGCGCTAAATCAGAAACCTCATATTTCAAGCAACCTCCACATTGCCTTCAGATGCAAATGCAGTGCCCAGGCTCCCGGCCCGCGTCAGCTTGCAGATCTCTGCCTCCGCAGCTGTCAAACTGCGGGTGTAGCAGTGCAAGGTGAGCTTTGACTCGATGAATCAAGAGTGAGAACAGTTCCAAAGACTAAACAAATTTGATCATACTAAATATTGATACTCTAGTTTTAATGAGTCTTCATTGTGCTGGTGTCGCACAGACATAATTCCACACTCACATGGGAATGATGGTGCTGGTGGCGATGACGACAGTCACGACAAAGAGCAGAGATGAGCAAAGCATAGCAAAGGAGCATTCCCTCTTCTCGAAAGCCACTGCTATGCGATGTGCCACCAGAGCTTGGCCAGCCGTGGTTTGCAAATCTGTGAATCTGTAGCAAGTCGTCGTAGTGGTGTGCTGCTATGTACATGTCGTCCAGCTGCTTAAAGGACTTGCCCGATCACGTGTCCGCAGTGCAAGGAGTTCGTCGGCGGTATTTCAGTTCGACGCAGGGGAGCTTCGTCTAATCATGTCTTAAGCTTCTCGGGGACACCGGCATTGACCTCAACATCACTCAGCTCGATGCTGAAAAGAGGAAGCCACTGCGAAACGTCGGCTCGCGGTACGATGCCGCTGGCTCCAGACACCTCGGCACCCGGAAGTAGCCGCCAGCTTCGTGCCTGGAGCCTCAAGGGGTAGGACAGCACGTCGGTGTAACCGCTCCGGCCATCTGAGAGGCCACCACTCAAATTTGGTAGAGTGACGTCGACCTGAGATCAATGAAGAGCATGGGAATGCCCGCAACCAAGGCCCTACTGGATCTCACTGGGGGGGGATGTTTGGGGTTCGAGGAATTCAAGAGCCGCATCCCACACCTCCCCGAGCCGACGATAAACCCTGAACCCCCTAAACCGCAAACCCTAAACCCTAAACCGTGTGCAGGAACGCGTCTCTTCACCAGGTCTTCCTCTCTGCTTTGTCTGTTAGACTTATAAGAGACAGCCACGACGGGAAGTTCCCGAAGCAACACTCCGACTACTGCCACAGACTGCAAGACACAACAATCCAGAACCGCTGAAGTCCAAGCCTTCTCTCATTCAACGCCTAGCCACTCTGCTGCTTGCCTTGTCCATCCACGGCGGGTGGCCCACGGTAACGCGAGCACTGCGATCCACACGACCCAAAGGCCCACAGCCGTCCCCGATGTGCAGGAGCGGAGCAAAACCGAAGCCCAGCACCTTGGCATTGCTTTTGGGATGTGCTGACATCGGGCACTGTCGTGATACAAATTCAAGTATCTGTCCGTAATTTGAGTTAATGCGACATCCAGGAAGCCTTCCCATCTTCGTCTGAAGTCTGCATGCTGATATCACCTGACTTCGAGGCGATGCTAGCGATTCAACATTCCGCCAATGCTGCTAGGCTCTTGCTTGCAAAAGCCAACTCTTGGTAATCTAGAAAGAGGTTTGACAAAAAACAATCAGACTACTGACTACAGCCCTGACCATGTGCCTCTATGTGCCTGACGAGGAGCACCGCGAGGTGGGAAGTCCCCACACCTCACGGCCCCCCTTGGAGGCCTCCTCGCTGTCCACCCAAACGTGGGAGGCCCAAGCGCCCCAAGCGCCCGCAGCCAGCACCAAACTGCTCAAGAGGCCCACCTGCTCTTATGATGTCTGCTCCCATTGCAGATGTGAGGTCTACCCTTTATCCCTTTCTCGGAGTATGATTCTGCCCCGTTGCTACTGCTACTACTAAGTACTACTACTACTACTACTACTACTACTACTGCTACCACGAACACGGGCAAAACAAAGGTCGTCTAGAAACTCTAAAGACCATCATTACAAGTAGACATTTTCTGGTCGACTTTGCGGTCTGTTCTGATCGTGGGGAGCAGCTCTGCGGCGCCTCCATGTAGGGTCCCCAAGGGCTTTCATCCCACTCAATGGCAAAGCTGCCGCCGATTGTCCGGCCCAATAGACTGAGCGACTGCACACCAGGGGGCAGCCCGGGGCCGGCAATACCAGTGCTGGCGGGTGCAGGTTGTGGGACAATGCTGAGGTGAAGCACCGCACGGGAGGCATGCAGCTGTAGCCCGTCCGTTTCCTGCCCAGGGAGAACCCATGTAACGAGGCGCCAGTTATTGCAATCCTCACCAGGCCCAGACAATTTGTTTTTTAAGCATGTCATGAGGTCCGAAACGGCGGCTCTGCACCCCGTCAGAGGCTTGTTCGAGCGGTGGCAACGACCGGATTTCCACGCCACAAAGTTGGAAGGTCTCGGGAAAGCCTCAGTTGGCAACAGCATCGACCCGCGATAGCTCCAGCCCGGAGAAAATCAAACACCTCCTTTGTGCTCAAACTCCAAGTGCCATTGAGAACCAAGCAAGGCCTCATGTCATGAACATGTCCTTCCGACAGGTAGCGCAGGCTGCGAGGGCAGCAGCCAAGCCCAGCAGTCGAAGCAGGCGCATCTGATGAACGATATCGCAAGGCTGCTAGCAATGACAACCTGCATGTTCATGCTCCCTACACCTGTGGGTCATGTCACGTGTGCATACGCCCCCCTCCCCCCAGAAGGGACTTGCAACCAAAATGCGGCTCCCAGGCTTCCATTGCTTGAGCCAAGGCACTTTCCAGGTCGTGCTCGCAATTGAAACTAGTTACATGTAGCCCAAATCGATTTATCAGCCTGCTCGTAATCCAGCTCACTCAGCCCACAGAACCCCTAAGCGCCACTTCCAGGCAGCCCTGCAGCGGGGAGCTGAGAAGGGATTTGGATTAATGTGTACTTGGAGGATCATGGGGTCTAGTAACTAGAGTTATAAACAAGGTTACTATACTTATAAGTAATTATAACCCCAATTAAGGTAGTTATAACCTTACCTACTAAGTCCCATGATCCTCCAAGTAGAGCCCGGAAGAATACTCCGTGGTGTTGATGGGTAAGCCAGGTAATTACGACTACAAGCCCAGAGACTCCAATACCCCTTGATTAAGGAATATACCTTAAATCTCATTAGGGATCCGACTATAATTTAAGGTATATTCCTTAATTAAGGTGTATTGGAGTCTCTGGGAGCAAGTAGTAGAGCAAAGCTCCCAAAACTCCCCCAAAACCTTACCGTGTATTGAAACAAGCCGTCACCAGATTTCGTGGCAGCACCTGTTTTGCATTACCGCACTTCAGACCAACGAAACAAAAGTCAAGTCTGCATATTGTCTGCAACTTTACAGAACCCGGAACATCTCCACAACAGGGACAGCTTGCAGCCGTTTTGCGGTAGCAGGTATTTCAGGTTTCATTCGGACAGAGTATGTAGGGACTCCCTACGCATGGGTATGTAAAATCTGAAGCTGACGCCCGAGGAAACGTAGGTCCAACTCTCTGCGGCACTTTGTGCAGCACAGCGATGCAGAAACGAATTCTGTGTCCTGCAGCTACCGAAGAAGGATCGTGGCTGGATCACTAGGCAAGTCCATGCAAGTCTTTTGCTCTCCAAGGCTTGGGCTGAGACTGAAACTCACCAACATTATCTTTCAAATGCCCTTCCCGCTCCTCCAGTACAGTTTCCAGTCGACCCGTCCCAGAAATCACCCTATCATCGTCATGCACCGCACCATTATAGCTTTGTCGCATAGATGCTTTTACAACCTTACAGTAGGTATCAAGATGTCCTCCACACACACACACACCCTCGGCCCAAGGCTGGAGAACACCGTGATGGCCACACGCAAACTCAAAGCTCTTTGTCTTCGAAATCTAGTCGTGGCAATTTCGGTAAATTATGACGCCTTGAAGCTCTTCATCAAATTATGCTGCTCGCGTAGAAAGGAGCAAATAGGCACCCTAGTTTCGACACGTTGAAGGTTCTGTTGAAACATGTGCGCCGGGCGCGCGGATCCGTTCGTCTGCCCCCGAAGTTCTGTCATTTCGGCTGCTCGGGCAGGAGAGGTTCTGGGTTTCGAGCTCAGGCCTGAAAGTCGTGCCAGCTCCTTAAATGCTGGTGTGAAAGTGCAGTGTGGCCATCGGCAAAACTCAAGCGACCGTCTTTGTGGGTCTGCGCTGCTTCTGTACAGGAATAGAAGATACTACATGACTCTCGGTGAGCAGTCTGGCCGCAATAATGTAAGGGCCGCCATGCTCTTCCACTAAGACTACTAACACACGCCCACATATGATCTCAGCTTCAGCCTGCAATGTATGGTTTCGACATTGAATATCGGTCAAAGGATGGGGGTTGAGATCTAAGACAGGACTCGATTTATTACCTTTCCATGGAATCTTTCAAAAAACGACACCATTCCTCGAAGCGCTTATGCAACCAGCTTCTCCACGCCAGGGATCGGCGTCTTTGCGTACTCCCTGCCTCGGTTGCGGACTTTTGGGGTACTCTGGATGTCAGCGGGTCGCGGGTTGTGACAAAAAGGCGGAAGCTAAAACCAGGCCTGACGTGACTCCCAGACTCCTCAACTCCCAGAGTCTGTATACGGTATAGGGTTTAGGGTTTTTTGACACTCGCACTCGGACAAGCTTGGCAAGGTCCACCACGATACTGTCTTCAGAGGTTTCGACTCACACACTCGCACAAGGCAGGCATGGCAATGAGGTTCCGAGCTTGCTACGTGAACATGCTGAACAGGCGAGCAGAGAGCGAACTCCAACGTGACCAAAATCGAATGAAATAGAACAACCACGACACCGATTGCTCTCCATGCCC